TTAATTTATTATTTTTTAATTTATTATTTTTTAATTTATTATTTTTTAATTTATTATTTTTTAATTTATTATTTTTTTTAATTTATTATTTTTTTAATTTTATTATTTTTTAAATTTATTATTTTTTTTAAATTTATTATTTTTTTTAAATTTATTATTTCTTTTAAATTTATTATTTTTTTAAATTTATTATTTTTTTAATTTATTATTTTTTAATTTATTATTTTTTTAATTTGTTTTTTTTTTAATTTATATTTTTTAATTTACAGTCATTCTTTTTTATAATCACACCCTATATATTCACATTATATAATTGTTTATTATTTTTAGATAATATTGTAAGGTTTTTGAGAGAAGATTTTTTATTATTAGCTGAATATGATAAATAATCTTATCTATTATTATTAATTTGTTAAATATTTCATGTATTTCATTTGTAAAAAATTAGTTTAATTTTTAAAGAATTGCTTTTCAATTGTGTTAAAAAAAGTAAAATTTGTAATTTTTTTTAAATAAAATTTTACTTTTATATTTATATCTTTAAATTTTAATAATAATGATTAAAGGAAAGAAAATAATTTTAATAAAATTTACATAATAAAAATTTTATATACTAATTAAATTAAAAGTAAAAAATTTGATTATTATAATAAACTACTTTTTATAAAATTTTACATATATATACTTATATAATATTTTTTAAATAAATAAAAAAAATAGATAAAAAATGATATAAACAGATAAAAAAAGTTAGTAATGATATTTATAAATCTGGAATCTGAAGAAGAATGTTTACAAGATTTTTTTTAAAAAAATTTGGACAGCTTAAACATTATCAAGAATTTTTAATTGGTATAATTCATAAATCATGTGAAAAATATCGCTCAAGAAATTAAAAGTAATATGAATCAACAATACCTACCAAATATTCAAAACTGCCTTGAATTTGATTCTATTAAAGAATCACAAGAAGTTAAAAGATTTTCTAAAGAATTTAAATATTTTAAAAGATATTAAGAATAAAAATTTTAAAATAGTTTAAATAAATATAATGTATAATTTATTTATATAATTTACTTCAAAAAAATATAATTATTCACTATTCCTATCACTATACATAATAAGTTTAATATTAATAATCTCATTATTAACATTTAATTTCAAAGCTCCATAACGTTTTAAAAATTCACACCCAATTAAAATAGAAGATGTTTGACCAACCTCAGAAGTTGATAACAGCATATTTTCATTTTGTATTGATGCTATTTGAGTTTTAAAAGAAGAAACCCATAAGAAGACTAGCAGTCTCATTACGTCGCTGTGGTAAACAACATAAAATTTTTTATGTTCAAGAAATAATTACATGCGCTTAACTATCATTGTCCGTGAAAACTTGGTGGAAAACAGGGAGCTGTTGATTTCGACATACTGGTTTTCTAAAAAAAGTGAATCCCATTTCCAAAGATTACATAATATCTCCTCGGCATATTTAAAAATTTTTTAATGAGTTCTACATCAAGCTTGATCCTGAGAGTTTAAGTGAAAAACATAAGTATCGATAGGTAATACTACGCTTGAGAAAGCAATGCTCCACGAGGGTTACCTGGAATGAATTAATATTAAGCTAATATTTATGAATAAATTTTTTTTAACTAATAAATTTGTTTCATAATCCGGCCGAGTATATAAAATTTGAAAGTAAGAATATTTTAAAATTGCAAGAAAATTATTATTATATTGATATTTCCAAATTATTTTATTAATTTTTTAATATACATACCGTATTTTGTGGAATAATGTACCCCTTTTAATCCAAACCAATTTAATTCTTCGTTTAATATAATTTCCCCATTTTTCAAAATTTTATAAAAAACACATCGCATAACCAATCAAATTGCGGTATTGGTTTATATTAGCCAATAGAATTGATGTATTTTTAATTTTTGTATGCTTTATACTCTTATGAACTATTTAATGTTATTTTAAACGAAGAATTAATTGAGTGGCCTTAGCATAATACCCTTGCTTCTTTTTTTGATGACAGTAAAAAATCAGGGTACAGTATAATGCATGGTTTACAGTGTAAAGAATTGAAAGGTATTTGAATATTACAATCAAATAATTAAATATGAGCTTACACACAATTTGACAATTAACAAAAGTATTTGTACTATTTATTCTCTTATTTTATTAATTGACGGCCGGAGGCTATTTCCCTACTGAGTTTAAATTAGTAAAACGTGGAATAATTAAATATTTTATGGGACGCCCACAGCAAAAGCAGGGAATGAGACTATATATTCCCATCCCCTGCTTTTGCTATGGGCGTCCCATATGTAGAAGCATGATATACACATTTCTTCTCCCTAAGACTTTTCTTTAAAATAATGTTTAAGCGATCACAGTATTCAAAAAATTGTTATATCATTCATAAGTATATAAAGGCTGGTCTTCTGTTCTACTTTCTACAAAAAAAGCCGTTAACAAATATTAATTTTATTATTATAATTTACAACTCTCCAAAAAAAACAAAAAAAAAGAAAATGGTCTCAAATTTATCATATACCCGGTTATTTTTTCTTATGACAATTTTTTTGTGCATTATTGCATTCTTCTCAGATCTTATTATTGCCGATAAATTGAATCTTGCAAAACGAGACTTTGAAGGAAAAATTTCATACACCGATTTTGAAAATACTGCATGCGGAATTAATACGAACGACAAGTATGTTTGTGCAGTATCTGGCGATATATTCAATAAGACGTCGTTATGCAATAGCCTAATTCAAGTAGATTATGGTCTGAATTCAGTCAATGTCACGGTTGTGGATTCATGTGAAGATTGTAATTATAATGATCTTACTTTAAGTCAGGCAGCATTTCAAGTACTCGCTGACCTTTCGGCGGGAGTCATAAATGGCACTTGGAATTTCGTGCCAACATCACCATCACAATGAAAATATTCTCCAAAAAATTTTTTATCACTTTTTCAGGAAATTTTTTTTTGCAATAATTAATATTTTGATGCATGTACGTAAATATTAGTAATAACATTTGTATTTCAACAAATATGTGCACGTATGTCGACTTTTTGTTCTTTGTCAACCTTTACATAATTGTAACAGCTTAGAAAATATAATTTCATACGATAAAATTGTTACTTGTATTTACAATTTGTAATATTAGAAATCAAAATCTCAGAGTGTCTTGTTGCTTTTTTGTATAAATTTTATATACACATATTGAATGAAATAGCATACCGAAAATGCATACAAGGTTGCACTCCGGATGCCGGTTCGGATGGCTACTCCGGAAATCAAAATTTTTCAATTACAGCTATTTTTTGGAACAATTGAAAAAATTACCGATGACCGAATCAATAAGTTCCGTTCGGCTGAAGTCAGTTACTTATTGATTACGGCTCGATTCGTTTCAATCGTTCCAGAATTTATGAAACACCTGTAATTATCAGTTAATTAATAGACTTACGTACGTATTTTGTTTGTAATTTGAAAATATCGTAAATTCTTTTGACGAATATGTTAATATAGAAACTTTTTTTTTTTAACAAAAAAAATTTATTTATCATAATAGATTTGTGTATTTTATTTAATTATGCGCCTTATAAATCATTAATTGTATGACCCAAAAAGCCTTTGGATTAATCTGCCTATACCTCTTTTTAAGAATGCATTAACCTTTGATCGATTTATTTTTTTACCGCGAGATTCGAGATTCGAGATTTTAGTGTCCTAAAGCGCCTAATCAATGATCAAAATGTATAGGAGATGTGTCGGAAATTAAAATTTAATTAGCGGAAAGTATTTTTGATCGATCAAACGCGCTTGTCATTAAGACAAATAAGTCACGAAACACTTAATTTATTATGTCAGAATTTTAAATAGTAAAAAAAGCTCAGAGTTTATCATTTTCGGCAACAAATTCTTTGCTCCGAACCATCAAAACTTTATAACTAATAAATAGAGTTATTGTTTAAGCAATTTCATACTTTTTATTCGTTATCAGCACACTAACATATGGCTATTCTTATGTAGTTTTTTAGGCCATACAAAGTTAACTTTTTGGTTCTCATAATATAATAAAACTTTTAAAATGACGGGCTTTTAATTTTATTTTCAAAAATTTTAAAAATAAAATTTTTTTATCAAACATCTAAAAAAATCCATCCGGGTAGTAAATATATTCAATAATTTCAGGTAGTAAATATAATCAAAAATTTTTCTCAAAATTTTGCCATTTAATAAACTATTTAAAAGCTATTCAAGTAACGATTGAGGTCTATATCTTGATCTATCGAAACAATTGTTGAGCATTATTACAATTACAGTATTACCTTTTTTATTCTTGATTTTTATCTAAATCTTATGAGAACAACTAAAATCACGTCTTAATACTTGTGCACTATTTCGATCGTATCCAGGTGGTGCTTTAGAACGTCCCATATCTCAATTTTTTATTGTTCCATGTATAGCAATAAATTTTCGCCAGTTTCAATTTGGTTTAAGTTAATTATTATTGTTACGTATGCGTTGCCTTAACTAAATTGTTATCTTTGATTTTCATTGCATCTGTAAAAATTGATAGCATGAATAAATTAATAACGTTAATCAATGGGCAAAGAATTGGTGCCGCTACAGTTCTGTATTTAGCGTTAACATTATTGATCCGCATTAATAGATTAGCAACGTAGTATTGTATTTAAATATTTAAAATTAGTATTAACGTTACTATTTAACGTTAACGTTTAATTCTTCGTGTACAGTACGTATGTACGTACAGTACGTACGTACGCAAAAGGAAAACTCTGATTGTGTTACATGGTAATAATTCCAAACTGTTCTGTACTCATGTGTCACGAATGTTGTAACTGTGTTCTTTCCTATTTAACAATTGAAATTCTCATCTTTTTTAACGACTTTGTGGTATCTTTACAAAAAATTCGAAAAAAAAACAATAATCATGGCAACGTCAGATAAAATAAAACAAGCAATAGAATTAAATGATAGTATATTTTATGTTGGTTCAAAATTAGATGTTGCTAAAGGAGCATTAAATGTTCTTGGAATGGTCGGAGATTCTGTTAAACCTTATGTTCCTTTAATAGCGGTAGTTACATCATTAATTGGAGAAATTGTAACAATTTATGAAAATGCTCAATATAATAAAAAAATTTGTAATTCTTTACTTGATCGTGCTAAATCTGCTGAAGCTGCTATGGATACATTAGCAAGAAGAAGAAAAGAAAATGAAGAAAATTTTCGTAAACAAGCTTATTATGATGATTTCGTAAAATTTAAAAATGCTTTAGAAAAGATAAAAAATTTTGCTAGTGAAGTAACTCAACTTAGAGGCTATAGAAAATATCTTAATGCTAATAATATTAAAAAAAAATTCAAGGCATTAACTGATGAGTACGATGCATGTATGAAACATTTACATTTTACTATGGTAATTTCTCAAGAAGAGCAATTAAAATATGATCACGAATGTTTGGAACATGATCTTGCGGAAATGGAAGAGGTATGAATTTAATAAAGTTATATTATTAAATTAATTATACTTATTAAATTTTTATTAATTATTTTCATCATAAAGTTTATGAGTCAAATTAAAGATGGTGTCGATGATAATCAAAAACAACTAAATATGATTTATCAAGAAATTGTATCGATTCAAACACATATGCATCATTTAGATAAAAAGTCATCGGATCAAATTAAAATTAATGCTCCAAGGATTGATCCAAGTCAATTACAAATACCAGAAGAATCTTCTGAAGAAACTAAGAAACGTCCTAATCATCCTAGAATTATAAAAAGAATTTATTTAAAGAATTCTACTGAAGTCGCTTGTAAAACTCATGATAAACCAATCGAGAAAGCATTGTCTACTCAAAAAAGTCAAGGTTATTTAGCAATTTTAGGAAAATTAGGTGAAAGTCCAAATATTTTAAAATTTTATGGAATATCAACTATCGATAGTCGCGATGGTTTGGTTTTTGAATGGGCAGAAATGGGTAATTTAAAAGAAGTTTATGAAAGGCATGATATACCGTGGGTCATGAAAATACCCATAGCTCTTGATATTTGTCGTGGTATTGCATTCTTAAATTCTGTTAGCATTTTTCATCATGATATCAGATGTGAAAATGTTATGGTAAGTTTGATTTTAAAAAAATCAATTATACATTAGATTATATACGTTTTAAAATACTTTTATCCATATTTATAGATAACAAGTCGTTTAGAGCCAAAATTGGCAAATTTTAAATTTGCTAGAATGTTCGATGCTGAATCCTCGAATCTTTCTGATATTTTAAAAGTTATTCATTGGTTGGCTCCTGAAAAGATGTTGGAGCATAAGAGTGATAATAATAAGAATTACAAACGACCATATACTCAGAAATGCGAAATTTTTAGGTATAATAAAAATTTTTTCTCTTTCGTAACCTCTTTTTTTTATCATCTTTTATATCCATGTTATTACTTTATAGTTTAATTCTAATTCACGTATTAACGTTTACAGCTTTGGTATGCTTCTTTGGGAATTATGTTTTGAAAAGTTTCCATACGCTGAAAAAGGTATGGATGATATTATATCCCATGTTACGAATGGCGGTAGAGAAAAAATTCCGGTTTGTAAAGGTGATGAAAAAGATAAAGAAATTCAAAAAGAATTTGTAACCATTATTAAAATGGGTAAGCAAATATATATGTGTATACACATATACTTTTTTACAGTATTATAAATTTTATAAAATTCTAATAATTTTTTTTTTAAAAAAAATAGCATGGCAGCATGATCCAGAAGCTAGAGTTAATATAAGCAAATTATTTGTAATGCTTTCAAAAATGGCCTCAAATTATGTTATACCCGGTGCGCCTACTTATCTTTTGCCTGATAAAACTATAGATTATGGTCATCTATCAGATTCATTGTTATCGGATGATGAGAAACTTTACGTATCAGATGAGGAAGAAGAGCAAAATGAAGAAATAGAAGAAATTCTATCAATTGAAGAAGGGATTAGACGTCATAAATTAAAAACTCCAGAAGATAGAAAGATTGCTTGGAAAATCTTTAATACTAATGCAGAAAGAGGTGATTATACTGCAATGTATTGGAAAGGTGTTTATTTATCAGAAGGTTATTACGTTGATAATAGATCTGAAGAATGTATCAAGGAAGATAAAAACAGGGCCATCGAACTTTTTAAATTAACAGCTGATTACGGTAATCCAGAAGCTCAAATACGTTACGCATTTTGTTTAAAAGAGTTGGGTTTGTTAAAAGAAAAAAAGGAACGTGATGAATTTATCAAATATATGAAAATGTCCGCTGATAATGGTTATCATATTGCCATGTACAATATGGCCGATATATTTTTAAATGGAAAATTGAAATATCCAAAAGATACTAAAACTGGAATAAGATATTTAAAACTTGCTGCATTAAACAAAAATGAACCCGCTATTGCTTTGGCTAAAAAGATGGAATTAAATATTTATGATTCAGATTATACTGCTCCGTAAGTATCTCCGCAAAGAATCTTTTTATCATCTGTGTAATGAACTAATAATTTTTATTTACAATAACGTATAATGTAGTGATGATAAGAGTAACGGTACATAACCTGGATCATATCATTAATATTTCCACAGACACGAAATTGGTTATCTCAATTTGTTGTAATAATTAGTTATGTATATAATGTATCATTATGGTTTTTTCGTGTATTTAATCTGTGTATACCTTAACATTATTTATTTATGTAATAAAATATTTAAAAATTTTGAAAACATGTCTCATTCTTTTAAACATATTTATTTGTAATTGGCTAAATACGCGTACACATGTGTTTCTAAATTATTTTTTAAAAAAAGCAATTTCGACAAACATTTCGGCATTGCTAGTTTTTTTTATACTATATGAATTCCACAAAGTAACTATACTGCCTAATGTATTTTGACATAAAGAATTCACTAAATATTTTGACAACTATGAAATTTACTAAGAAAAATTAATTTCAACAGACTAAATGTCGAAATAACTTTTTATTAAGAGTGATTTAGATACCCATGTATAAATACGCGTATTTTTTTAAGTCCTTTCGAAATTTTTTTTTGTAATTGTTCAAATTATCGTTCAACAAATCTTCTATATCGTATATTATTGATAAAAATTTCAAAGACGCGTATATATTTAAAATTGACTATAATTAGAAAACGACCTCTTTATATAACATTTAATTATTTAATTACAACATATTTTACAGCCTGAAAATCTATCTTTGACACCATTATTGTGTGTAAATGTCAATATTATGAAATCAACATCGTTTTATTATTATATCTAAATTCTAAAATATTCAAAATAACATCTAAAACAAAAACTTACCTTCTTTTACTGAAATTTTACCTGCAAGCTTAAATGTTTATTAATTATTTACATAAATTAAATTACAGTCATCATCCATCAGCAAAAGCAACCAGTTCTTTATTTTCTTCAACTAAATCACCAATATTATAATACACTTTTTCAATCTTTCCAGTAATTGGAGACCTTATTATATGCTATTAACAACACGTTGAAAAAAAATTAAACCTTCGTTGAATCACGCGACAGTGATCATATTTGTAATTTATATATAAACATTACCTCCATCTTCATTGCTTCTAATATCAGTAAAGGTGATCCCTTTTCAACAGTTTGTCCAGGTTGAACGAGAACCTTTATAAAAATATATAATTTAACGTTATTATTAGAAAAAAAAAAACATTAAAATTTTTTTTTAAAAAAAGACCTGAGAAATTTTGCATGGCATTGGCGTTTTTATGGAATGTGCCACTTCTGCAACACCTGAATCAAGATATAAAGGTTCTGGGACATGTAAAACTACTTTGCCATCCTAAATTAAATACAAATTAGTATACACATCAACAAAAAAAAATGTATAATAACGCGTAAAATTAAATTAATTAAATTACAAACCCGATCAAATATAATAATTTTATTATTCTTATCCATCACGATACGACTTTTAAACCGTATACCACTAATATATGCTATAATTTGTTTCTCTGCTTCATCCCAGTAACCAGTAGCGCGTTCAAGTACAATCGGATTGCCTTTACCACGATTAATAATAATGTCAAATGAATTGTCCTGTAAATACTTTATGTCAACAGATATACGATCATCATTTCGGTCATTGAATAAAATATTTCGTTCATATATTGTGTTAAGACGATATCCAGGGTACGATGTCCAAGGTGAATACGGATCTATAACAAAATGACTGTTATTTAATCAAGCACTACAATTAAAATAATGTTTACTCAATTGTCTTTAAATGTATAAATTATACCAAATGATCCTATAGTAACTTTCTTTAATTCTTGATGCTCCTTCAAGATTAATGACAAAGCAGCTTGGGCAATAATATGAGGTGATACTTCTGGATCAGGTGCAAATAATTCCTTTTCATATTTCTAAAAAGTACAAACATGAGAAATGGCATGACCTTTCTATAAATACTCAAAATATTCTACCTTAATAAATCCAGTTTCAATTTCTCCTTGTGTGAAAGCAGGGTGTGAAACTACTCTTTTCAAAAATTCAATATTCGTATTCAATCCAACGATCTTATAAAATCATGAGTATAAAATAAATAATTATGGTCATATAAATAATTTTGAGAAAATAAACTAATAAAACAAACTTCATATTCTTGCAAGGCTGTTCTTAATCTACGTAATGCTTCTGTACGATTCGCGCCCTTGGTAATTAATTTCGCAATCATAGGATCATAATAAACATTAATTTCATCTCCTTGCTCAAACCCAGTTTCTAGCCGAATATTTGATGAAAGTGATGGTGTATGAATATGAAGTAATGGTCCAATATCAGGAAGGAAATTACTATAGCAATATATTTTTGGGGAATTGCTATTCGTACCCCCCAAATTTGCTATCCACACCCCCAATACAAATTAAAGTTTTTTGAACTTTGAGCGAATATATCTCTACAGCCACCAAGTCAAATTCGATAAACTTTTTTTTTATTTGAATTCTATACATTAGTAAAATTCAAATAAAAAAAAGTTCATTGAAATTTGCCTGGTGGGTACCGAGTATCTTCGCTCAAAGTCTTAAAAAACTCAAAACGTCTATCAAAACTCAAAACTTTTTTATTCTTTGAGCGAAGATATCTCAACACTCACCAAGCCAAATTCAATGAATTTTTTTTATCTGAATTTTATGTATCTGCAGAATTCAAATAAAAAAAAAAGTTTATTTTATTTGGCTTGGTTATTGTCAAGTTATCTTTGTTCGAATTTTTAAAAAACTCAACGCCTATAAATAGAAATTGCGCTAAAATTTGTTATTTTTGAGCGAAGATATCTCAGTAACTGCAAGCCAAATTTGATGAACTTTTTTTTTTATTTGAATTCTACGAATCTGCAGGATTCAAATAAAAAAAAGTTCATCGAACTTGACTCAGTGGTTGTTAAGATACCTTCGTTCAAATATTGGGAAAAATTTTGGGCAGGTTTTACTTATATAGGCGTTGAGTTTTTTAAAAATTTGGACGAAGATATCTTGACAATCACCACACCAAATTCAATAAACTTTTTTTTATTTGAATTCTACAGATACTTAAAATTCAGATCATTGAATTTGGCTTGGTGAGTGTCGAGATATCTTCGTTCAAAGAATAAAAATTTGACATTTTGAGGTTTTTAAGACTTTGAGCGAAGATATCTCGGCAACCACCAGGCAAATTTCAATGAACTTTTTTTTATTTGAATTCTACTAATGCATAGAATTCAAATAAAAAGATGTTTATCGAATTTGACCTGGTGGCTGTCGAGATATCTTCGCTCAAAGCTCAAAAAAAACTTTAATTTATATGGGGTGTAGATAGCAAATTTGGGGTACGAATAGCAATTCTCTATTTTTATATAAGAAAAATATTTTAGTTTAAATAAATTTAAATAAATTTGAATTTAAATTCTGAAAGATAATATATACTTTTCTGGATTTTCGGCATATATACGAGCTTCAAATGCATGACCATCAAGGAAAAGTTCATCTTGCGTCACGGGTAACGGATTTCCTGATGCTACCTGTAGTAAATAAATATCTCAAAAATTAAATAAATCAATTAAATATTTATATATATATATAAATTAATTTTACCTCCAATTGCCAATGAACTAAATCTGTAGAAGTAACCATTTCTGTCACAGGATGTTCCACCTGCAATCTTGTATTCATTTCCATAAAATAGAATCGTTTGTCTTTATTGTCCATTATAAATTCAACGGTACCTGCTCCAACATAATTAACAGCTTTAGCGGCGGCAACAGCCTTTGCACCAAGTTCTTGTCTTATTTCTTTACTTAATTCTGGTGCTGGAGCTTCTTCTAAAATTTTTTGATGCCTTCTTTGAACAGAACAATCTCTTTCAAAAAGATGTACAGCATTTCCTTGCGTATCTGCAAAAATTTGTACTTCAACATGACGTGGTGTTTCAAGATATTTTTCAATAAGAACTTGATCATCAGCAAAAGATTTTATAGCTTCTCTTTTAGATGATTCAAGTTGAATTTCAAATTCTGATTGATCATAAACAATACGCATTCCTTTTCCTCCTCCACCTTTTATAGCTTTAATTAAAACTGGATATCCAATTTTTGATGCTTGTTCTTTAAGGAATTGAGGATCTTGATTTGTTCCATGATATCCTGGAACGACAGGAACGTTAGCAGCAATCATAATATCTTTCGATTCACTATTTAAGAACATGTTGCAAGTTAGACGGTCATTGTCTTGTTAACCAAATATTCATAAATAAGTATGTGCACCTTTTTGAGCCCATAGAAATCATTGCTGATGCTGGTGGACCAATAAATGTGATTTTTTCATTTGCGAGACGCTCTGCAAAATTTGCATTCTCTGATAAAAATCCATATCCTGGATGAATAGCCTAAATTTAAAAAAGAAATAATTGATTTTATAATTTTTTTTCTAGTACAGCACTGTGGTTAAAATTATATAGCTTTCTATTTTTTAAATACCTGTGAACCACTTTCTTTGGCCACAGCAATTATCTTTTCGATATTTAAATAACTTTCTGAAGAAGGTGCAGGTCCAATTAAATATGCATCATCTGCCTATATTAACAAAATAAAGATTTAATTACATTAATAGTCTATTAGATAATTATAAAAAAAAAAAAAAGATCATTTCAAGAAACTTACCATTTTAACATGTAACGAATATTTATCTGCTTCGCTATAAACTGCGACAGTCTTTATACCCAATTTTTTAGTAGTACGAATCACACGACAAGCAATTTCACCTCTAAATTATATTTAAAAAATTATGAATTTGATTTTTATATTTTACAAGTTATCATGTAATTAAATAATGATATTATTTACCGGTTTGCGATTAGAATTTTATCGAATAATGGTTTATTAGCTGTAATATTATTTTGATTACAAAATAAAATTTAGATTCTTTATAGTATTCGATAAGGCGATAAAGAAAAAAACTATATACCTGAATTAGTTGAAAAGTAATAAATATCCAAAGATGGCTTATTTAAAAACAATGTAGGTTGGAACCCTTTTTTTTTTTTATGGGATAAGTAAATTTAGATAAAGGCGGATTAATAACTTTCGGAAATCGAAACAATCGATACATTTTTTTGCAAAAAAAGAGAGTTGTAATGTAAACAGTCAAATTAGGTTGATATCTTTATTAATGTTTGATGTTGCGTTAATGGTCATGCAAGGTCATGATCACAAATTTTAAACGGGTATCTTTATTATTGTTATGTGCTACCTAAAATCCACCGATATGCAGCAGATACGCATAACTTCCGTGAGAGCAAATGTTAGCCTATAACTGTTGGACGAAATATCGTCCTTCGTCAATTAAAACCTTAAATGATGAAGCTAACGAAAGTGATGAGCTGACGAAAGGAGGATCTGAATCTAAAAAATTTTGATAAACTAGTGATATCTATAATTCAAAAAATGGATTTTTTACTATATATATATAATTACGGGTAATTTATACATGGTGAATACCAATACCCATGCAATCGGTTCGTGTGACGTGATCCGATCTATGCCTAGAGATCGGGTACATGTTGATGCATAATCCATATCGGGTGATCACAATTTAATTAAAAGTCTAAATTAGAGATGTGAACTGTTTGTCGATCCTAACAGTTTTCGGCCCAAATTAACCGTAATGTGGGCCAAAAACTGTTAGGATCGGCAAACGGTTCGCATCTCTAAGTCTAAAGCAATAGCGATTAGTAATAAAATATAAGGCATCGATCCAAATGGGGAAGTGCTTAACTTTGGTTCTCGCTAGTTCTTTGACCCTTAATAAATAAACTGTTATCTGTGTGAGCAGATTGTTATCGGTGGTAGTATCTGGTACGATACTCCAGTCATCGTATAAATTAGCCAAGCGAGTATAAGCCGATAGTAAAGTTCAACGAATACACGGTAGTTTGGGTAACTCCGTGTCAGTACCATCAAAAAGAAAACTATAGTTACAGCTTAAGTGCTTAATTCAAAAGCTAATTTTCTTTTGACAAAGACAAGATTTCGGCTCGTTTAAGTGTTAAATTTATTTTATTTCCTTAAACTCAAAAAAAACAAAAAAAAAACAAATAAAATAGTTCAAGTTATACTCTACAGAATTTTAGGAATGTCCGGTTTCCGCTTCAACAGACCCAAATTTTAGGTTCAATAGCCAGAATTTAACTTAAATTAGATTCAACGTTTGATACATCAACTGATTTTTAATAAAAGAATAGTTTATAAATTAAAAAATAAGAATTACCTAATATCATCATAAATATGTAAACATCCTTCGAATGTATGCACATTAATCAACTAAAAATTCAAATACAAAAAAATACAATAATAGAAGTTTTAAATTTTAATAAAACGAAACATCATTTTTTAAAGTTATTTCTGCTCGATCATGTTTTTTTTTTTTATTTTCGAAAAGCATATTTTATTTTTGTTTCTAATATCAAGAACTCTTATTATAATATGCTTTTTGTCATTTTTTTACAGTTCAGAATAACTCATCAAGGTTTTAATTAAATACGTGAAATAATAAGTTTTGGAAGGAAGATTGTACAGTTTATAAAAGATTATTTAAACAGAGAAAATTTCACATAATCTACCTGCGCCATACCTTAAACACAAAAAAGAATAATAATTGAAAACCTACAAAGTAAAGGACGATTGACAAAGCCAAGGTAGAAAGTTTTTATTCAGAAGAAGATATTACAGATGTACGCAAATATAAATTTGATTCATGTAGATGATTATTATGTCAATCAGTGTTTAAAATTCGATGCTCCTAGTGTTCTCAGAGACATAATTTTTGAAAATACAAATCATTAAACATGTCTTCTATTTGAGATCATTTTTAATATTAAAAATTTTTCTATATAAAGAACATTAAAAATTCTTGAGAACGTAAGAAATTATTGTAAAAACTGTTCTTTTTGAAAACAAAATAAATTTGAATTTCAAACACTGACGCCAATAATCTGGCACACATTCAAGAAATACCTTAGGAAAACATATTAATCAATAAACCATTTTTCATGTTCTTTTTAGTTAAATGCAAAGCA